GGGAATAAAATGGTACCGTGTTTGGTTTCCATTTCAGTTATGTATGAGGGTGATCATCTTTTCATATGTTTATGAAATATTCATGTTGCCTCCTCTGTAAAGTGTCTGTTCATGTCTTTTGCCTATTTTTCTATGAGGCTGCCCTTTTTTTCAATTTACTTGTAAAAATCCTTTGTATATTCTGTATTCTACTCCTTTTCTAATTAAATCAGTTCCAAATATCTTCTCACAGTTTGTGCCTTGCCTTTTAAATTTCTTTCTGGTGTCTTTTGACAAGGAAAGACAAGGTTGCAATTTTAATGTAGTTAGAGTAATCAGCCATTTATCTTATGATTAGTGCTTTTGAGGCAGGAGAATAGGGTCTGGAGGCAGGAAGCCTAAGGCCAATTTGCACCAACTTCCTAGAACTGAATCAAAAGAAAAACCCCAATTTACCATGCCCAGGTAACAAAGGGGTCAGAGGCTACTCCCTTTGCAACCTCCCACCCGCCTCTGTGTGGCAGATGAAAAATGGAAAGTCATCTGTATTAGTCTGTTTTCACACTGATAAAGACATCCTGATAAAGGTATCATGATAAAGACATCCCTGAGACTGGGCAATTTACAAAAGAAAGAGGTTTATTGAACTAACAATTACACTTGACTGGGGCGGCCTCACAATTATGGCAGAAGGCAAGGAGGAGCAAGTCACATCTTCCGTGGATGGCAGCAGGCAGAGAGAGAGCTTGTGCAGAGAAACTCCCATTTTTAAAACCATAGGATCTTGTGAGACCCATTCACTATCATGAGAACACCACGAGAAAGACTTGCCCCCATGATTCAATCATCTCCCATCTGGTCCCTCCCACAACACCTGGGAATTAGGGGAGCTACCAGATGAGATTGGGTGGGGACACAGAGCCAAACCATATCAATCTCTGATTGGTCCCCTCTTGCAACCAATCAGGCTGGTAGCAGGCCTAGTCTTCATTTGCATTGGGATATGACTTTGTTACTTCACTTCAGCCTCTGGTCCCTTCCCACAACCAATCAGACATTTGCATAGAGTGTAACTTTGTAACTTCACTTCAGTCACTGATTGGTCACCTTCCACAACCAGTCAGACTGGTTGTGGGCCTCTCCTTTATTTACATAGGGTGTAAACTGAGTCACCAATGGGAAACCACTAGAGACTATTTAAAACCCAGAAAATTTTCTTGAGCAGCCAGCTTGAGCCTGCTCCCACTCCATGGAGTATACTTTCATTTCAATAAATCTGTGTTTTTGTTGCTTCTTTATTTCATGGCTTTGTTATGCATTTCTTCCAATTCTTTGTTCAAAACACCAAGAACCTGGATGACTTGTAGTCAAGGCCCTCCACTGGTAATGCTTTTAAAAAGGAAATCCTTTCTTACCTTGAAGTGATAAGAAATATTTCTATATTTTCTTTAAATTTTTTTAAGTTTTTGCTCTTAAAATTTAACTTCTTAAGCCATATGGATTTTTTTTTTTTCTTATGGATAGAAAATGTTCTTGCACCTTTTAGAAAAGAGTCCTTCTCTTCCTCAGATTCGTGATGCCATCTCTGTTGTTTCCTTGGCTCTGTGTCTATAAGCTCTGCTGTTTTCCACTAGCAAAGTCATCTATCCCTGCATCAATACCAACTTCCTTACTTACATAGCTGTAAAATGGCTTGATACTTTCCCATCACTGCTTTATTATTCTTTAGGAATGCCTTGGTTATTCCTGAGGTTTTTAATCTTTCAAGTGAGTTTTAGAATCAGCTAGTCAAGTTCTGATTTAAAAAAACTTGTGGTTTTCGATAGGTTTGGTATTTTGACAGAAATATCGAATCAACAGCTCTACTTGGAGAAAGATGACTTTCTTACAATATTGAATCTTTCTAGCTGTAAACATAATAGACTATCCATTTATTTAAGTCTCATTAATATTTTATAGTTTCATAATTTTCTTAAAAGTCTTGCACATTTTTTGTTAGTTTTATTCCTAGGTATCTTACAAGTTTTTTTGCAGTTTAATTTTTTTTGCAAAACATAATTGTACAAAATTTTATTTTCTATGTTAGTATGTGTTAGAATATTTATCTTGTATTCAGTTGCTCTGAAAAACTCAGTTGTAACAAATCACATCTGCATAATTTTAAGTTTTCTTTTGAACAATCACATAATTTATGAATAATGACAATTTTATTTCTGTCTTTTCAATTTTTATACCTTTTATTTACTTATCTTACTACTCTGACTGGAATTTCAGTACAGGCTGAGTAAGAGTATAATAAATCATCTTTGTGTTGCTTCTGATTTTAAAGATTATTCTTTTAAAATTTCACCATTAACAATCATATCTGTCAGGCGCGGTGGCTCATGCCTGTAATCCCAACAATTTGGGAGGCCAAGGTAGCAGATCACTTAAGCCCAGGGGTTCAAGACCAGCCTGGGCAACATGGCAAGACCTGTCTCTATAAAAAGCACAAACATTAGCCAGGTGTGGTGGCAGGGCCCTGTAGGCCCATCTATTGGGACGCTGAAGTGGGAGGATCACTCGTGCCTGGGAGTCTGAAGCTGCACTGAGCTGTGATCACTCCACTGCACTTTAGCCTGGGTGACAGACACAGTGAGACCTTATCTAAAAAAAAAAAAAAAAAAAAAATTATGTTAACTATAGGTTTTTAGGTATATAACTTTATAGGTTTTGAAAATTTCTGTTATTTTGACAAAAGTGTTTTTCTTTAATCATAGATGAATATTATATAAGATACTTTTTCTGCATTATTTGAAATGGTCATGTTTTTTCATCTTTAATTAATGCAGTATATGATGTTTACACGTGTTTAGATAGTCCAAGTAAAATTACAGAACTGTTGTAATTTTATTATTATCCTTTATTTGTTTATTGAGACGGAGTCTCACTCTGTTGCCCAGGCTGGAGTGTAGTGGCACGATCTCGGCTCACCACAACCTCTGCCTCCTGGGTTCAAACGATTCTCCTGTCTCAGTCCCCCGGGTAGCTGGGATTACAGGCGTGCACCACCACACCTGGCTACGTTTTTGTATTTTTAGTAGAGACAGGGTTTCACCACGTTAGCCAGGCTGGTCTCAAACTCCTGACCTAAGGTGATCCGCCCGCCTCGGCCTCCCAACATTTATTATGATTTTTGTAGAGATAGAGCCTTGCTATGTTGCCCTGGCTTCTCTCAAACTCCTGGCCTCAAGTAACCCTCGGCCTCAGTCTCCCAAAGTATTGGGATTACTGGGTGTGAGCTGCTGTGCCAAACTATTCATACACCACATTTCTCAAAACCTACTCTTTTCTGCCCCGAATCTTTCTGTAACAGTGGCCCCCAAATTGAGATTTTAATATGACAGTATGTGAAACGTAATGGGTAAATCAATCATGTTTTCTTTTAATTTACTATAGTTCCCTTGCCAATTTCAAACCACCCTTGAGTTTCTGAGGTATAATAATTCAAGTTAGTTCTTCCTTGTTTCTAATATCTGCACCTTTGTTCATCAATGAGAGTGACCTGCACTTTTCCTCTCTTACACTGTTCTTTCAGGTTTGGGGATCAATGTCATAGAGGTTTCGTAGGATGGGTTAGAGAGTATTCCTTTTTTTTCTTCCTTTTTTCTTTTATTTTTCTTTCTTTCTTTTTTCTTTTTTTCTTTCTTTCTTTCTTTTTTTTTTTTTTGAGACAGTCTCACTCTGTTGCCCAGGCTGGAGTATAGTGGTGTGATCTTGGCTCACTGCAAATTCCGCCTCCCGGTTCAAGCAATTCTCATGCCTCAGCCTCCCAAGTATCTGGGATTACAGGTGTGTGCTACCGCGTCCAGTTAATTTTTGTATTTTCAGTAGAGGTGGGGTTTCGCCATGTTGGCCAGGCTGGTCTTGAACTCCTGTATTTAGGTGATCCTCCTGCCTTGTCCTTCCAAAGTGCTGGGGTTACAGGTGTAAGCCACCATGCCTGGCCTCCGTTACTTTTTCTTGAAAATTTTTGCATAAATTTGAACATTCTGTTTCAAAAGTTAAGTATATTTTGTGTGTAAAACCCTCAAGTCTTTCTTGATATTTTCTTTGTGGAAATACTTTTATCTTCCAATTAAATTTATGTAAGATTATAGGAACTTCTTCTTAATTTTGATAATTTTATTTTTCTAGGAGTTTGTTCACTTGGTTTAGGTCTTGTTAGTCATTCTGTGTCCACAGAAAGTAGATCTACTGAGGCTTTCCTATGTGCTTGTAAAAGCCTTGATATAAGAGGACTGTAGGCTCCTTATCGTCTTTTTCATCCTTTATAGGTATCATCTGTTCGCATTCTGGTCAGCTAGACGGCTGATCAACTTTCATTTATGTGCAGTTCAGCTGACTGTCCTCTTAACTCATATTTCTAGAAAGATATTTTTCTTATTTCCTCAAAGCTGATTGTCTTAGATTTTCAACAAGAATAAGTGAGGTGTTTCTTAGCTGCCCCCACCCCGCCCAACTTACCCTGTTGTATGGTGAATAAAATTATTAGTTTAATGATTTAGCATCAGAAAATAACCAGTTATTATTTTGAATTTGGATTATATGGCGTGGTACTGCAGCTATAAAAAGTCATTTAAAAAGAAAAAAGATAAACAATAGTAATAACAAAACCTTAATACTTTTAAAAATATCTTCTTAACATTTTATCTTCTAAAATTTAAATGCATAGAAATGAGCAACATTTTATTCAGTGGGAACCTTCTGGATAATCTATCTCCATATAAAAGGATAACACAGGAATTAAAGTAATTCTTTTAGATCTTTCAAGAGAATAGATTATAATTCCATGATAAGTAATTAACTATCTAATTTATTGTCATTAAAGAGTGTCCATTTATTAGTTATGTTCAATGTCAAGTGTAACCAGGCATGGCGATACTCATCTTAGGAATGAGCTAAGAGTGTGCAGTTACAGCCTGAAATTCATGTTTTCATAGAAACATGGAATCCATTGATACGTTGAAAATGTTTTGCAGGAAGAAGCTGTTTGTTTCGATTCTGAGCTGGATGAACATATTAAGTGGTTCCAGCAAGAATATGTGAAAACAGAAAAGGACTGGAGAGAAATTGACAAGAGAATGAGCCAAACTTTGGAAATAAGAAGAAAGATGATTGGCAGCCAAACACCTCTGAAGGACATTCTTAAACTGTTTCCTTTCTTGAAGTGCCCTTATCAGGTATCTTTATTCACTTTATTCTCTCTATATATAATATATATAGTATATATGTGTGTATATATACTATATATATATTAAATATATATACACACACATACACACATATCTATTTTAATATTTTATAAATATATATATATATTTTTTAGACAGAGTCTTGCTCTGTTGCTCAGGCTGGAGTACAGAGGTGCGATCTCAGCTCACTGCAACCTCTGCCTCCCAGGTTCAAGCGATTCTCCTGCCTCAGCCTCCTGAGTAGCTGGGACTACAGGTGTGTGCCACCATGCCTGACTAATTTTTGTATTTTCAGTAGAGATGGAGTTTCACCATTTTGACCAGGCTGGTCTTGAACTCCTCACCTCAGGTGATCTGCCTGCCTCGGCCTCCCAAAGTGCTGGGATTACGGTGTCCAAATGGATTTTTCCCTCTTTCCTCTTGGAGTGGTAACAGGACAGCATAGCGAGACAGTGGGGGTGAATCTCAGTGAGATGTGAGGCCCAAAGGGCTGCAACCAGAGTCATTTGATAGGAGTTTCAGGAAGCGGACCCTCCCCACCCACCCTCTTTCCTAACCCTGAAAAAGGAATATTAAAAAAAAAAGAAGAATTTCAGTAAGCATATCCAGATAATAGGCACCGGCTGCCTTCAGAACTAAAGAGTTCTCTGTCATTGGACATACTGTGGAGGCTGGTGGATCATCACTTAGGGGCATTTTGACAATGTGAATCATTATCCCCTGTCATGCTTTTATATAATCAAGGGAGTTTATTAAGGAACTGTTATTATGCATCCTTACTAAAAATATGTTTCCTTTATGATCCCACATAATTTCATAAGTGTTCTTAAAAATACATGAAATTTAGCGCCGGGCATGGTGGCTCACGCCTGTAATCCCAGCACTTTGGGAGGCTGAGGTGGGTGGATTGCTTGAGCCCAGGAGTTCAAGACCTGCCTGGGCAACCTGGTAAAACCCCATCTCTACTAAAAGTACAAAAATTACCTGAGCTTAGTGGTGCATGCCTGTAGTCCCAACTATTCTGGGAGACTAAGGCAGGAGGATCGCCTAAGCCTGGGGAGGTCAAGGTTGCAGTGAGCCACGATTGGGCCACTGTACTCCAACCTGGTGACACAGTGAGACCCTGTCTCAAAGAAAAAAAAAATTATATACATATATATATATACACACATATACATATATATATATATATATGTTTATGAAATGTAATGGGTGAATCAATCAAATACCCTTCCATTTAGTTCACTTAGAGTGGCCATTCAAGGGTCTTTCACAATTTTAGGGTAATTTTTGGTGGTGGTATATAATGAAAGATCATCAAAGGTTTTACCCGAGAACATATTTCATGGAGAAATTCTATGTATTCAATTAACCAAATTAAACATGAAACATCTACATATTTTTCTTCTGAACAAAGGGAATTAGGAATTGCCTGTAGGTATTATTTTAATAGTGACATAAGTAGCAAATGTCTGAATGCTCCTCTGTAACAGCATGTTTTCAGTGCTTTCCAAGGATTAATCTACCTAATCCTCTCAGCAACCATACGGTGGCTTTCGCTTGTTTCCCCTTCATCTTCGGGTTATTAGGAACTGTAATAGCCAGTCGCCTCTGGCTGTTAGAAAAGTATGCCAAATGGACACAGCTGCAAAATACAGTCTTAAAGCAAAAGCCTGTCAAACTTACGGTCTAAACATTTCTTACATGTAGAGAGCATGTTTTAATATTAACAGTTCCCAAAGTGCCTAGCAGAGCCACACGTGTGACACAGCAATGTAATCTTGCTGTTTTGAATGCTGAATGAATTAGTGGAGGTTGGTAAGGCTGTTGTGATCACTAATGTCGCAGCCTTTGGGGTCTTCATTGGAGTGCAGCCTACAAAGTCCTACTGATGAATATAAATGGACTATGTTAAGCAGCTTTTTATTTTTTTATTTTTATTTTTATTATTATTTTTTGAGACGGAGTCTCCCTCTGTCGCGCAGGCTGGAGTGCAGTGGCCGGATCTCAGCTCACTGCAAGCTCCGCCTCCCGGGTTTACGCCATTCTCCTGCCTCAGCCTCCCGAGTAGTTGGGACTACAGGCGCCCGCCACCTCGCCCGGCTAATTTTTTTTTGTATTTTTTAGTAGAGACGGGGTTTCACCGTGTTAGCCAGGGTGGTCTCGATCTCCTGACCTCGTGATCTGCCCGTCTCGGCCTCCCAAAGTGCTGGGATTACAGGCTTGAGCCACCGTGCCTGGCCAAGCAGCTTTTTAAAGAACCATTGGTGACAGTAAGGTGGAAGTCTGTCACAGCTTGTGTGAGGAGCAGAGAGATTTCAGACCTGAGGCTGTCCCCTGTGCTTTGTTAAGGCCTCCCACTGTGGCATAGGTGTATCTTCTGCACCATTCCTCAAGTATTTCAGCCTTTATATCCAAAATATGGAGTATGGTTTTTGTAATGACTGTACTTATTGAATAGAGTTGCCTAGTGACTGTTTTTATTGATTGATTGATTGAGACAGAGTCTAACTTTGTCACCCAGGCTGGAGTGCAGTGGCACAATCTTGGCTTACTGCAGCCTCTGCCTCCCAGGTTCAAGTGATTCTCCTGCCTCAGCCTCCCAAGTAGCTGGGACTACAAGGTGCACACCACCATGCCTGGCTAATTTTTATATTTTTAGTAGAGATAGGGTTTCACCATGTTGGTCAGGCTGGTCTTGGAACTCCTGACTTCAGGTGATCCACCTGCCTTAGCCTCCCAAAGTGCTGGGATTACAGCCGTGAGCCACTGCACCTGACCTTATTGATTGTTTTAAACAAAAGAACGAATCATTTTCGGTTTTTCCAGGAAGTACCTCCCTAACTCAGCCCTATGCAGCTGGGATTTCCAATTTATAAAACCCTCGTGTGCTTCCTAAAATAAAAGCAAGTTTGACCTTGCAAATACCTAGTTAACAAACAATCCCATAAGAAGACAGTTGTCCCTGCACCAAACCACCCCCACCGCCTGTTGCTCCTGCCATTGTGAAAACACTGAGTGCTTAGGGAGCTGGTGGAGACAGGGTGGCAGAACACTAGCAGCTGAGGTGGGGGGTGGTCCTGACTGTTAACACTGACCCTCCATCATCTCCATGCTCATTAACCTCCTTCCTCAAAACACTTTCTTTCAACAGAATATTTAAAAATTCAGAATGTAACAATTTATTAGATTATCTAAAATATTATCAACTAAGAATGTGTTACTGGGATCTATTGGATGTTGCACAAGGCAAGTAGGAGGGAGTTGAGAGAAGGAAAATACCAAACACAAACTGAAACCCTTCCCCAAATTTTCCAAAAAATCCTTTCAGATGTCATAGTTTCTGCTTTCCTGAGAAACAATTTCTTTTTTTTTTTTTTTTTTTTTGAGACGGAGTCTCGCTCTGTCACCCAGGCTGGAGTGCAGTGGCCGGACCTCAGCTCACTGCAAGCTCCGCCTCCCGGGTTCCCGCCATTCTCCTGCCTCAGCCTCCCGAGTAGCTGGGACCACAGGCGGCCCGCCACCTCGCCCGGCTAGTTTTTTGTATTTTTAGTAGAGACGGGGTTTCACCGTATTAGCCAGGATGTTCTCGATCTCCTGACCTCGTGATCCGCCCGTCTCGGCCTCCCAAAGTGCTGGGATTACAGGCTTGAGCCACCGCGCCCGGCCCTGAGAAACAATTTCAATCACCATCTCTTTAAGTGAAGTACATGAGAATCGCCCGCTAATAACGTCTCAAAAAATTAAAAAAATAAAGAATCTGAGTTTGGTTTTGGCCCAAATGGAGTAACTGGTACTGGCCTAGTCTTCCCACTGTTAACATGGATAAAGCTGGAAAAAAAAGTATGTATGAGGCAACTGCACTCAGGCATTAGGCAACAGGCATTGCAGGACCCTGATCCTTGATAACAGGGAAAGACATAAGATGTGCCTCAGTTTTGTGCATGGGTTACTTTCTAGCTCACTGTACATTATGGTGGGAGTCAAGCAGAATGCGGAGGTCTCACGGAGCTACACAGGAGGAGATCAGAGTTGAGGAATGACGAAGCAGCTGGCCTTTGTCGGACAGGCACTGGAGGAAAGTGGGCTAGAGCCGAAGTCTACACACGGATGCCCTGGGGATCCTTGGCTGAGAGCTGAGACTTCACACAGTGTTGCTAATAAGAATTCAGGCCAGGTGTGGTGGCTCACGCCTGTAATCCCAACACTTTGGGAGGCTGAGGCAGGCAGATCACTTGAGGTCAGGAGTTCGAGACCAGCCTGGCCAACATGGTGCAACGCTGTCTCCACTAAAAATACAAAAATTAGCTGGGTGTGGTGGTGCACACCTGTAATCCCAGCTAGTTAGGAGGCTGAGGCAGGAGAATGGCTTGAACCTGGAAGGCGCAGGCACAGTGAGCCAAGATCATGCCACTGGACTCCAGCCTGGGCGATGGAGTGAGATTCTGTCTCAAAAAAAAAAAAAAAAAAAAAAGAAAGAAACAAAAAGAAAAGAAAAAAGAATTCTGTTCCAGTGTGTAGAGACCCTGCAGAACACCTCGGGCATTCATCTGAGACTCCAGAAAGCAATGCCTCATGAGTGAGAACCATGCCTAAGTTTGAGCCAGGACCTTGGCTAGGACTAAGGACAAACAACAAAAGAAAATTGCCCAAAGAAATGATAAAATCAAGTCTGACAGGACCAGAAGATCGACCAGTAATTTATCTGCCTATCAGAATAAAATTTAACACCCTTTAAAGGAACATAATTTAATCCAGACTCCCCACTAGTGGACCATTAGAGGTTACAGTGAGCACTGCCATTCCCATTTCCACCTCTTGGTTCCTGGACCCATGAATTCTGGCTGTGGAAGAAACTGCACCGTGTCCTGGATGCCAATTCAGAGCTTATACAGCCTGGGGGAACCTTGTCCCAGCCCCACAAGTTATTGCCACCTAGCTGGTGCTGTAACTGAGTCTTCAACAGGCCACTCCACCAGTCTGGCAAGCCAGCTGCTTCAGGACAGGATGGTGGGGAACGTGATAAGACCAGTGAATTCCATGTATCATCACTATAGGGAATCTCAGCAGAGAAATGAAATACATGCAGCAGAGAAATGAAATACGTGCACACATGCGCACACACACACGCACACACGAACCAAACTGAAACTCAAACCTGAAAAGAACATTTATCTGAAATGAAAACATCACCATGTGCATAGGCTTAAGAGCATATTGGAAAATGAAAAGAAAGGAGCTGTGAATCTGAAGATAGATTAATAGGAATTATCCAATCTGAGTAACAGAAAGAAAAAAGATTAAGACGATTAATTTGTAGGACATAATCTGGGGTTGTGAAAAAGTGGGTTTTTTGTTCCAATGTTTATTTTAGGTTCAGCAGGGGATACATCGTGCAGGTTTGTTATATAAGTAAACTGCATGTCGTGGGGGTTTGGCGTACAGGTTATTTCATCACCCAGGAGGTGAGCATAATACCCAATAGGTAATTTTTTGATCCTTACATTCCACCCACCCTCTAATCTCAAGTAGACTCCGGGGTCTATTGTTCCCTTCTTTGTGTCCATGTGGACTCAGTGGTTAGCTTCCACTTACAAGAAAGAACATGCAGTATCTGGTTTTCTATTCCTGCATTAATTTGCTTAGAACAATGGCCTTCAGCTGCATCTATGTTGCTGCAAAGGACATGATTTCATTCTTTTTTATGGCTGTGTAGTATTTTGTGGTGTACGTGTACACTTTCTTTATCCAGTCCGCTATTGATGGGCATCTAGGTGGATTCCATGTTATTACTATTGTGAATGGTGCTTCAGTGAACATATATGTGCATGTGTCTTTCTTTATATTCCTTTGGGTATATACCCAGTAATGGGATTCCTGGGTCAAATGGTAGCTGTGTTTTAAGTTCTTTGAGAAGTCTCCAAACTGCTTTCCACAGTGGCTGAACTAATAATTTATATTCCCATTAGCAGTGCATAAGTGTTGGAGAGGAAGGCTTTTCTGTGGCTGACCATTCACAGCTGAGAACTTGGCTACACAGACGTTTGTGCTCATAAGTAAATACATTGAGATATAATGGGAGCCAGGTATCTCACTGTTGAAGAGAGTTAGAAGCTTGGGAAGGGGAAGGTTAGGAAAAGCCCTGTGGTATTGGTTTGGATGTGAAAGTATCAATGTGAACTCATGGTTTTAGTCTTTATGTATGGCTATTTAATATTTACATATAGATATATAGTTATTGATATTTCTGGATCAATGGGTGCCTGTGTTTATGTAAATTAAAACATTTCCTAGATTTCTTCTAAGAGAAAGTGTAGAGCAATAATATGTCTGTAGCAAGTAGTACACCAGGGCTGAAATATTTTTTTTTTTTGGTTGGGTATTTTTTTGAGAGAGTGTCTCACTCTGTTGTCCAGGCTGGAGTGTCATGATCATGGCTCACTGCAGCCTCGGCCTCCCAGGGCTCAGGCGATCCTCCTACCTCAGCCTCCTGAGTATCTGGGACTACAGGCGTGTGCCACCATGCCTGGCAAATTTTTGTATTTTTTGTAGAGATGGATTTCGCCCTGTTGCTCATGCAGGTCTCAAACTCCTGGGCTCAAATGATCCTCCTGCCTTGGCCTCCCAAAGTGCTAGGATTACAGGCATGAGCCACAGTGCCTGGCCTAAAATCTTAGTTTTTAAAGATAATTCTTCATGAAAAGGAATCAGGGTTCTTGGAGAAATAGCTCACTACACGGGGGCAAAACAAAAATGAAAACAACAACAAACCAAGACGAGTTTGAAATACTGTGTAATGCCAGAAATGAAGGAAATGCTTGCACACTAATAAGGATATGCCAGGAGGGGATGGGAATCCATTTGAAGCGGCTCCTACTGGCCAAGCCCGGGCAATTCGAGCAATTCTATAAGCAATGAAAGGATCAGATTTGTAACCGTTTGGGTAAAATGGGAATTTATTAACCTGTAGTGATAGAAATAAATAAGTAAATATATGTGGAAGAAAAGAAACTATCTTAAAACAGAAAGCCAACTAACCCATGTAGAAAGAATGGAATTAGAAAAGTCGCCATTTGGCAACTATTATAGTAGTACTTGATTCAGGCAAGAATCATTAATGGATGTGGAATCTGATGGATCAGAGTTATACAAAGAACAAGATATTTAAATAAACTCAAGGTATTTCCTTATAAAATACAACATATACTAATTTTACAGTGGAAAAACCTGGTGAATTCCATTTTTAATCAAGTAATAAAAGTTATTATCTCCAATACTGGAACCAGTTACCATTTTGTGCTTCCGGATACAGTGAGAAATGCTAACATTCTTGCCAGAAATGCACATCTGAAATATCGTAAAACTGCCAGGGAGAAATGTTCTACAAAGTAACTGGCCTCCACTTTTCAGAAACTGTCAAGGAAACTAACAAGTTGTTTGAAACTGGAGACTACAGAGACTGTGGTATCTAAATCTCGTATGTGATCCTGGATTAGATCCTGGACCTGTTAAGAACATGACCAGAACAACTGGCAAATTTGAATGGAATGTGTAGTAGATTTTCCTGAATTTGAGTGTCCTTGTACTTAGGAAATACACAATGAGGTATTAAGGAATAGTGGGGCATTATGTCTATAGCTCATTTTCAAACGGATAAGAAATTGGGGGAAGTTGCACAGGGGGCACTTGTAAGTTCTATTTACTATTTCTGCAACTTCAATGTAAACTTGAAATTATTTCAAAACAAAAAGTTAGAAAACAAATTCTTAGGCTATGAGCCCAGAACAGTGGAGTATTCACCTTCTTCGTCCTTCACTTCACATCTTCCTGCTGAGAAAACAGTTTTCTAAGGGTATTAATCTAGATTAGTGGCCCACTGTGGGTTGCCTGGTAACAAAGACACTGTGCCTTATGCATTCCAGCTTTCTGACAACTTAACTTTCAGACCTAATCTCTGGGCAATTTATAGTCTACCAAAGCATTCAAGGAACAATGAGGCCCAGTGGGTAGTATGTGATTGTTCTTTATAGTTTTAGGAAAAGCAATGACTAAATTTAATTCATATGAGTGTGGGTGGCTAACGATCTGATAATGCCACTCTGTTAAAAACAAGAGGGGGAGTGGTGGGGGAATCCTCTGAGGGGGAAGAATTCAGGCAGTGGTAGGAAGGGGTAGTTTGAGGAAAGGGGCTTCCATAAAGTAAACTGGTTTTGCTTTGACCTTGTAGTCCAATCTGCACATACATTGTTTCTTTTTCTTTCTTTTCAAGACAGGGTCTCACTAAGTTGCCCAGGCTGGAGTACAGTAGCACAGTCTCAGTTCACTGCAGTCTCAATCTCCCCGGGCTCAGGCTATCTTCCCACCTCAGCCTCCTGAGTAGCTGAGACTATACACGTGTGTCACCATGCCCAGCTAATTTTTGTGTGTTTTGTAGAGACAGGGTTTTGCTGTGTTGCCCAGGCTGGTCTCAAACTCCTGGGCACAAATGATCCTCCTGCCCTGGCCTCCCAAAATGCTGGGATTATAAGCATGAGCCACAGTGCTCGGCCATATATTGCTTTTCACTGTTTACCTCTGTCTACTCTTACAGTGTTTCTAAAGCACTCTCCTTTCCCTAGATTTAGGATACTATGGTTAGGTATTTTTCAGGGGTTGCTTCCTAAAATCAGTTTTGTTCTTTGCTGCTTGTTGAACAAGACGTAACAATGTAGTTTACCTAAAGAAATGTAAGCTCTTAGAATCTTAGCTGGGTAACCCAAATAGCCTACATATGCATATACCCTTTGAATCCTCAATTTAGTTGAGTCTGCATCCAAAGTTTTAATTCTGTAGGTTTAGAAATTTGCCATGCCCATTATTTATCATTTCACATTCATTTCACGCTTTCATTCTTTTCTCCTCCCTCATCCTAAGGCTTTAATTCTCCACTAAAACTTCTAAAATACCGAGTACTTAGTTTAAACCAGCATTCAAAGCTTAATTCTAAAGGTTTTATGTCTTTACATTCTATATATTAGCTTTTCTTGTGCTCTGATGTATGCACTGCTTTCTTCTTTTGTCAGATATTCAGAGAATTCCAACTTCTTACAAGAACAGATATTTATAAGAAAACAAGGCACATTTTGGAATCCTATTCAGAAAATATACTGACTTCTTTTTCAGTGGTGGACAATCCAATCAATATTCTATTGCAAGAAAAAATGAAACATTACACAGATGAAGACATGTTGAAATGTTAGTAAACCTTGTGGAGCGGCGTGATTTTGTCTGCTATCTGTCAGGATATCTAGAGAAGTTATGCTTTGGTAGTCAGTAAAATTCAGTAATTTATATTTATTGAGTTTAAAAATATATTTAAAAATTATTAAAAATTTACATTACTAAAATATATTTAATAACAATTTTCAATATTTAAGTAATAAGTGAAACTGGTGGGGAGAAAAAAAGTTTCAAATTAGGGGAGGAGGAGAACTATAGATTTGAAAAGTATACTGGATATTGTAAAATTATATTTAGGGAACTAGTAGCCTGTTAATTTTACAATACAAATCACAAGGGGCAGTATAAAATCTTCCTGGCTGATGGACAGACAGTACGAACTCTTGTCTACTCCTGGCAGTGCTCTGGAGGGCAGACATGAGGTTCTGAATGTTTTATTAGAAGAGGGTGTGGTTTAAAAAGGTGTGAAACACTGATCTAGGAAGGTTAGTTTGTTTTCTGTCCAAGGTAACAAAAAATCCAGATGTTTCAATACTAGCTTAGCTTAGAACTGCTAAAAGCTTATTTTTACTTCAAATGTTAACGTATTTGCTTTGACAGACATGAAGCTGACAGCCACATGTTTACTCCTCCCAGATGTTTTTGGGGATGATCCCAGTCTTTTTGTCATCATGAATGAACAGGTGTGTAGTATGTGAATAGCCACTGGTTTGACATTTTACATCTTCATGCGATTATTTATATATTTAATTAATTTATTTATATTTTTGAGATAGAGTCTCACTCTGTTGCCCAGACTGGAGTGCAATGGCGTGATCTTGGCTCACTGCAACCTCCGCCTCCCGGTTCAAGCGATTCTTGTGCCTCAGCCTCCTGAGTAGCTGGGATTATAGACATGCACTACCACGCCCAGCTAATTTTTTTATTTTTAGTAGAGACGGGGTTTCATGGTGTTGGTCAGGCTGGTCTGGAACTCCTGACTTCAGGTGATTCACTTGCCTTGGCCTCGCAAAGTGCTGGGATTACAGGCGTGAGCTACCGAGCCCAACCGCGATAACTTATTTAAAAGCAAAGTTGGTGGCCTATTTTGAAGTATGTTTGTCGTATTTACAAATATGCTACATTGCAACAAGCCCATTTATTGTAACACCATGATTAAGTTCAGGTCTGTTTTATTATTTAGCTATTTTACGTATCACAGTAATGACTCCATTCTTTTTTTCAGGTGCAAGTATCCACACCTGTGTTGGAAGTTAAAAACCCTTTCAACATGGAGGTCTGCGAATTTTCTTTATATTTAGAAAGGGAGAGGCTCACAAAGGTGGACGACTGTGTTACAGCCTTGGCTGCGCTAGTAGCTGCCTTTCATGTATTTGGGATTGAGTGTCCAAGAAGACTGTCCCAAACCTTCAACTTCCTAGAAACGTTGATTTTTGATATGCACAGTCCCTATTTTCCTTCTTTGAAAGAAAAGGAAAAGGAAGTAGGATTTCAACTCCCAGTCACTTAATAGCATGCCAAACATTGTACTGGAATTTACCTCTGGGAAAGCTGAAGCTTCATAAAAAATTGTTTTGATTTAGGGTTGTGGTAGAGGTAGGTATGAGAAAAATAATCTTGTATCATAGATGCTAATGAATTTCAATGCTTTCTGTCTTTACACTTAGATATTAAGTTCTTTGTGAAATTCTGTAATAAAATTCTACTTCATTAAAGAGCTGTCGATTTATTTTGAGTTTTTAGAAATTCCACGGTTGAAGTTATATTTCCAGAGGTGCCTCGGTTTTTTTGAAATACACTGTACTCAAATCTTTCAGCTTAGAGAATGGCCTTGGACTGAACTCAGTGTGCACACTTTATGCCCAGGAGCTGCACATTTGCGGCCGGCCTGTGGGCTGTCTCTTTGGTCTGAACATCACTTGGGAACATTTTGAACTTGCACATTTCAAGAAGGGACACATTAACTCTTCTCTCCCTCAGGGGATCTGCCTTGCCCCAGGAGATCTGGTTGTCTTTAATCGCTTGTTGGGAATAAGGGCTGCGGCATTTTTGAGGTCTCCTCATTGCTGGCTGATCTTGCTGGTACAGGTCCTCATGTCTGTGACCTGTGTTCATCTGCTACTGCTTCTCGCCTTGGAGACACAGTGACTCATCCTGCATGCCCAACTGGCTACTGCCCAGAGTTCAGTTCTATCTGTTCTGCTTTTAACAATGGCTGCATAAGTACCTTTTGGGTCTAACAAGACTCAGTGCACTCTCCCTCTTTCCAACCATTTGACAAGGTAAAAACTCTAAGGTGCCCCTTGATGTTGTTATCAAAATATCAACATTACTTATTAGCTTTGAAAGATAGACCAGGTCCTTTTGGGAACAGAAAAGGGATTTAAATGTGTTAAAATACCTACACAGCATAATGGGATTAGCATTTCCCGGGTTACATCATCAAATTAATTTTTTTTAAGTTGAAGAAAGGTTCATGTGGGCTGGGCATGGTGGCTCATGCCTATAATCCTGGCACTTTGGGAGGCCAAGATGGGCAGATCACCTGAGGCCAGGAGTTTGAGACCAGCCTGGCTAATACTGTGAAACCCTGTCTCTACAGAAAAAACAAAAATTAGCCAAGTGTGGTAGCACATGCTGTAGTCCCAGCTACTTGGGAGGCTGAGGCAGGAGAATTGCTTGAACCTGGGAGGCGGAGGTTGCAGTGAGCTGAGATCATGCCACTGCACTCCAACAGGGTGAGACAACAGGGTGAGACTGTGTCTCAAAAAACAAACAAAAAACAAAAGAAAGGTTCATGTGAACTATTGAAGAAATAGTTTTACACTACCCATCTCTGGAAATACTGCAAAGTATTTATTCTATCACTGAAATGTCAACAGCCTGCTAGATACCTTTCTCTCTAATAAGGACTGTTCATTAACATGCTGAAGCCAGTGAGATAAAAGAAGTCAAAGAACAGTTGCCCATTTCTATAATTATTAATTAACTACTTACATCAGGCAGAGTAAGTAACAATTTGGCACAAGTCATTTTGCCTAACCTAGTTCCTATCCTCCAGTACTCACTTCTTCCCTTTCACTAGAATGTACCTTTAGTTCCTTGCAAACTTTCCTTTATTTCCCCAAATCACTCCTTCTTCCTTTTAGTCCTTTATTCCCAAATAAATTTACCAAGTTCTTACAGATTCTTTTCCTTATAAGGTACACACCCCTATGGCTAAAGTTGAATGACAGCCTCTCTCAGGCTGGGACAGGATGACAAGGTAGCTACAGGGAAACTGCAGTGAAGTTTGGCTCCAAGCATGACACAAACATGGGCTAACCTTGAAGGTAGATTCAAGCCGATTTTATTGTCTATCTCAATGGTGTATCTATCCCCAGTGCCCAGCACGGTCCTGACACTTGCTAAATTCAACATTGCTTGACCAACATACCCTATTTTATTTAGGGGCTGAGTCTACTGAATCTAGAAGTTGCAGAATGGCAGCCTGAGGACAAATATCAACCTGCAGAATGGTTTTATTCGGCTTGCAGTGTTTTCAATAAAAAAAAAATGCCTTTAGATGGGAAAGTCCTATTCAAGGTGTATATTTCTATTCCTCCCTTTTCTCTCTCTTTTTTTTTTTGATATGGGATCTTGCTATGTTGCCTGGGTTGGTCTCGAAATCCTTGGGCTCAAGAGATCCTCCTGCCTCAGCCTCCTGAGTAGCTGGGATTACAGGGTTGAGCCACTGAGCTTGGCTTCCACCATCTGTCTTACCCCAAGCCTGCATCTCTCATTTCAGAGATCTCCCTACAATCATGGTGCCCTATATTCTCTGTTAAAACTTAGACTATATCCCAGGGATGGAGTGGTGAGAGTTTTCACCTTCTTGAGGTACAGTGAATTCTGCACCACCCTATGGATGCTTAATGCCTTGCCTCTAACATGTAACAACACGCTGCATAGAATGAGTGGATGTCTTCAATAAGATTTTAAAAATCAGCTGGGAGTGGTGGCTCATGCCTGTAATCCCAGAACTTTGGGAGGCTGAGGCAAGCAGATGACCTGAGGTCAGGCGTTCAAGACCAGCCTGGTCAACATGGTAAAACATCATCTCTACTAAAAATACCAAAATTAGCCAGCCGTGGTGGTGGGCACCTGTAATGCCAGCTACTCAGGAGGCTGAGGCAGGAGAATCACTTGAACCCGGGAGGCAGAGGTTGCAGTGAGCCAAGATCACGCCACTGCACTCCAGCCTGGGGGATAGAATGAGACTCTGTCTCCAGAAAAAAAGAGAAGATGTTTAAAATCTCATGATTTAAATTATGCTTTAGTTCTATGCTTTACACTTGAAAAGAAAAATTCCCAATGGGGATGAATTGTACTTGACCTAACAATATAATCTTTCAGTATTTTTGTCATCATCTTGGGACACAGTTTGACAATTCTGAATCCTACAGATTCATTACACAACTAGTAATGTCCGAATACTTGATGCTCTTCCTGCTCTTGTGCTGCCTCCCCTATTTGAGAAGCTTTCTTAAAAATCATACATATGTAAAAAGCATCTGCAATTAAGATTTTATTTCATTCATATCAGATATAACAAGTACAACTGGAATGTACAAATTCTGAACAAAACATAAAAAAGAAAAAAACAACAACAAAAAACTTATTTAAGCAGATTCATGCAAATAAATGACTGGGACACTGTAGATGTCACTGACCCTGTTTTACCTTGAATTGACAAATGCAAAGGACTGCTAATGGACTTCCAACAGGGACATCAAAGGAAGTCCTACATCATAAAAAACGAAAGCAACTAAAGAAGAGGTGGAACTTCCCTCAGAATTCAGACAGCATGCTACAAACTTACTTTCTATTTTTAAAATAGTCCTTGAATAAATATCCAATCCTGGAATCAGAAAGTACATCAAAAGACGGACAAAATAATTTACCTTTTGCCTTAGAAATGCATTCTTGCAAAAGAAACACTACCAGCTATCAATTTATAATCAAGGGTTTTCATTTAAAGTGCATCTGTATGCTTATATATCGAGGCAAAGTATTCTACAGAAAAAGGAATCCTTCCAAGATGGAGGTTCTTGGCTAATTACTTTGGGAAATCACCTCCCTGATCTGTGAGAATTTCAGATTTTGTGTCAAATGAAGTTGCTCCTTCACACCTTGCCTTTTCAGTAAAACCACGACACTCGACACTAGCTCTTCAGCCAACCCTGAAAAAAACCTTTGGGTTTGGAGGACAATGCATGACCTGAGACAGGGCTCTTGACAGATTAGTGTTTCTGTTGACAGAATGAGCTCTCAGTCTCTGTAAAGCACCACAGTTTCCTCAATGACAATTAGAAGCTCAAGATCATCTCATAAATAGTTCAAGACCCTCACAAACATCCCCCCAACCATAACTGCATCCAACTGCATACTCCTCTGATATCATCTGGCTCTTGTCAACACGGGGGCACCAAGATGCGTGAGACTGATGCCACTCAAATACACTACCTAATTTATTTATGTTTATATATTTTATTTTTCAATTCCATTCTTTTATATACACGTTTTTGGTAATTATAGTAAAGATGCTGGTGAAAAGTAATTTGTTTAACATTTCATAATGCGTGCAAAAGGAAAAACACTGATTCAAAGAAAAGTCACTCTTACAACTATTCAGCCCTGACAATTATGACAAGCAGTTAGGCAATATCATGACTTGCAAAGTTATACTTAGCATAATGTTGCAATTCAAAATATGGCACAAAATTAACAATACAGATAACAGTCCTACCGGCTAAACTTAGCCAGGTTTTGACTAATTTGGTTTAAATTGAAATTTGATTATATAAAAAGGTTTCTGAAAGTATTGAAAAAGAAACAGTGTACATGAAAGAGAATTCAACAATGTTTACAAAATGCCAAAAGTTCTTACTCTGCCCCCCCATTACCATAAATAATTAATGAAGTCCCCTTTTCCCCCCGCCCCCCAGACTCAAAAAGATTTACAAAGATAAATTTAGCTCAGTGAACAGAACCAAAAGATGACTGTTGTTAGACAGTACCTGGTTAAAAGCTCAAGCACTTTCATAAGAATTCATATATATTGTCTCTTGAGGAATATAAATAATCCGATAGTGTTGCTCTTTTGAGTTTTGGAGACTTCCCATTTAGGAGTTATAACCGTCCTTGTGCTTTGAATAAAACATGAGCTTTAAAGCAGAATGCTGATGGTATTCAGAATTCACCATCTTCAAAGTTCATTGTGAGAATTCTTCTCTGCAGCTTTGAACATCAGGATGGAATTGAAAATTTTGAGAGCAGGGCCCAGTTTAATGCTCATAATTTTAACAATGTCTGTTTGAGTCATAAGTAGAAATGCTTCTCCATCAATTTGCTAAAATGGGGGAAAAACAACAGAATGTGGATTAACAAGATGCAGTGCTGTAGAAAATATTCAAGGTTAAATTATCAGCTGTCTTCTACATAGCAATGCTAAAAAAGCACACACAGAAGTTCATGTGTGCAATGACATTTCTTGATATATGGACCTTTTTTATCCACAACGACACACCCAAAAGTGGACTGGGAACAAAGTAAACTAATTCCCCTGAAAAATCAGCCCACAGGAAAATAGAAGGTACTCATACCTTCCTGCGATCACTCTGAATTAGGTGTAGAGTTAAGAAGAATATGGAAAAATTCAGGGTGGCCAAAGTCTAGTTTTTATCATGG